GCGCAGTCTCCTCTTAACAGTTGTTCTAGAGATGGGTCTGCTGCTAGAACTCTGTGTGGCATTCATCTGGTCTCTGATCTGAGCTGCTGTTAACTTGCCATTTCTGAGGCTGGTGACTCGGATGAACTTATCCTCAGAAGCAGAGGTGACTCTTGGTCTTCCTTTCCTGGGTCGGTCCTCATGTGTGCCAGTTTCGTTGTAGCGCTTGATGGTTTTTGCCCGATCGGGCAAGTGAGTTGTTAGTTTACATGCCTGACCTTGAGTTTTACTTGCCCCAGGCAATCGGGCAATCCTTATAGTTGAGCCCTGAGAACAACTTAACTATTTTTGGTTCATAACAAGTGTCAAACAACATACTAGGACTTACTTATTTTTCAGAAAGTTTTATATTGACTGAAATTCTCTGGTCTCCTTCGAATAAACTCTCCCAACTAGTGTGATTCTAATGAGACTGAGAAGACTGATTAACAACACACTTGTGTTTTCTGAGTTGTTTACGCCAAGCAAATCTTTGGTCACAAACACTGCAGTGAAAAGGTTTCTCTCCAGTGTGAGTTCTCATGTGTGCTTTCAGGGTCCCTTTCTGCATAAAAGATTTTTGACAAACTGAACAGCTGAAGCACCTTTTTCCGGTATGCGTTTTCATGTGTACTTTCAGACTTCCAGATTGACCAAATCTTTTCCCACACTCAGAGCAGCTATATGGTTTCTCTCCTGTGTGAGTGCTCATGTGTTTCTTCAGATGTCCAGTTCGACCAAATCTTTTCCCACATTCAGAGCAGCTATATGGTTTCTCTCCTGTGTGAGTACTCATGTGTCTCTTCAGATGACCTATTTGAGAAAATCCTTTCCCACACTCGGAGCAGCTAAATGGTTTCTCTCCTGTGTGAGTTCTGATGTGTAGCTTCAGATTTCCACGTTGAGGAAATCTTTTCCCACATTCAGAACAGCTATATGGTTTTTTTTTACCACCATTCAAATCACTGATGGGGACTTTATCATTTTTAAGAGAGTTTAAACCTGACTGAGGTTCTCTGGTCTCTGTCCAGTCATCACTGTCATCAGTCTCAGGTTCAGAAGACTCTCCAGTCTTGTCATGTGTCTCAGGTTGTAAATGTGTATCTGGATCTGAGTTCCTGGCTGGTTCTGGTCCTCCACAGTGCTCTCCTTCAGATTCTGTTTCCATCTGTTCAGTGTGTCTTTGATGAAGCTGTGAGGACTGAGGTTTCTCTACATCATCTTCACTTTTCACAGGGACAGCAGTGGATGTGAACTCCTGTTCCTCTTTAATGTGTGGAGGCTCTGGGTCCTCCTGGTCCTCTTTAATGTGTGGAGGCTCTGGGTCCTCCTGATCCTCTTTAATGTGTGGAGGCTCTGGGTCCTCCTGTTCCTCTTTAATGTGTGGAGGCTCTGGGTCCTCCTGTTCCTCTTTAATGTGTGGAGGCTCTGGGTCCTCCTGGTCCTCTTTCATGTGTGGAGGCTCTGGGTCCTCCTGGTCCACACTGGAGCTCCACTCCTGCTGCTCAGGGGGAACCTTTTCTTTAACCACCAACAGCTGCTGGACGTCTGCAGGAAACAGGAAACACACAGATGTTACAGAGAAATGTTGTCGTTCATTCACATCACAGCTCAAAAACTCCTACTGAACTTCTACAGATCTCTGAGCATCAAACAGCTTCACAGTGTTCACTCAGCTGTGTCAGAGTGAGTGAGGTTGAGCTAAGCTTTCATTTTCGCAGCAATCATTAACATCCATTGAGACTCTTGTCATGTTTGGAGGCTCCAGTGCAGCTCTTCATTTGTTCAGGCTTATGTGAATTATGTGAGAATGACTGTCCATGGGATGCCAGAGTTTGCTTGCCCAAGATCTGTTTCCTCTAACACTGTCCCGGCCCAAACAGCAAACAAAGCATGCATTAACAGGAAGCTAACCCCCGAGGTGCTGTGCTCAAACCACTGAAGTACTGCAGAAAGTGTTAAAGCGGAATTAATACTTATGCATAGAACCACTATCCATGTTTGTGAGCTGAAACCATTTCCCTCAGTGGAAACAAAGCTTTTATTTACTTTAATTTCACAGAAAAGAAACAACAAACTGAAGAAGAGGAAATCTCTGCTATTCGCTAGGCTAATTTATACAATGTAAAGTGCCATAGACTTGTGCTAAAACATTAGCATGTTGGATTTGTTCGGAAAACGTTTTTAGTATAAGAAAGTTGTTTTGTCGATGAACCCTGTGAGCTGTAATGGAACCGTTTTTTTGTAACGTTACCTTTGTTAAATGTTGCTGTTGTCCCTGGCTTCATATAAGCAGAGGAAATCTCTGCTAACCACTCTGCTAATTTATATAATGTAAAATGCCATAGGCTTGTGCTAAAAACATAGCATGTTGTATTTGTGGGGAAAATGTGTCCAGATAAAGACAAGTGTTCGTCTGTAAATGCTGCGAGTTATAGTGAAGCTGATTTGTGTACTTGTGTTTGAAACTGTTCCTACTAAGCCATGTTTAAAGTGTGTTTTAGGTGTTTTGAATCAACTAAACTTTATAACACTTCACAGAACCCCAACAGAAAATCGCTAACACCAGAGAAGCTAACGACACCACAGAAGCTAACGACACCACAGAAGCTAACGACACCAGAGAAGCTAACAATACCACATAAGCTAACGACACCAGAGAAGCTAACGATACCACATAAGCTAACGACACCAGAGACGCTAACGACACCAGAGAAGCTAACGGCACCAGAGAAGCTAACGACACCAGAAAAGCTAACGGCACCACAGAAGCTAACAGCACCAGAGAAGCTAACGACACCAGACGCTAACGACACCACAGACGGTAACGACACCAGAGAAGCTAACGACACCAGAGAAGCTAACGATACCAGAGAAGCTAACGACACCAGAGAAGCTAACGGCACCACAGAAGCTAACGGCACCACAGAAGCTAACGACACCAGAGAAGCTAACGGCACCAGAGAAGCTAACGACACCAAAGAAGCTAACG